ACACACACACACACACACACACACAGAATATTTTTACTTTTTATTTTATTTTATTTTTTCAAGTACTACACACCTCTGGTGAACACACCTAAACAGTTTTGTCACACTCCAACTCATAAAAATGTAGGTATCAGTTTCTATTCACTGCTAGACTAAGATGGCCAAACCTGCTCTGTTTGTATCTCTTGAGTAAGAGAACAAAGGGAAAGGGGCAGGGTGTGTATGTGGTTTAGGGCAAATATTCAGGGGGGTCCTGTGTCCACCAGTTACCTCTAGTTGACCATCTGCACTGAGAGAAGTTCTTGAAAAAAATCCTGCTTACAGCATTGTCTACGACCTTTACAGTGAAGCTAATGAAACAAATAACATCAAGGGAAAAACTTCCAGGAGGCCTGCACATTTGTCCTTTGTTCTGTTATTTTTATGTTGTAATAATTAATTAAACATAAAAAAATCTACCTGCTTGTTTGTGGCCACAGAATGTTTCAAGTTTATTTATAAAGCGCCAAGTCACGACATACAGTACGTTGTCTCAGGGCACCGTGGTACTGTGTTTATGGTGTTCTAACACATTATCACTCCCAACTCGTCACGTATTGATGCTTTTCCAAGGTTCCCTTTGCGTCTTATTTTGATGTGATGAGTAACCCCTTTGGGTCAGTTATTGACACACTAGGCAATTCCAGGTTTCCTCAGCATCCGATTTTAACGTGTTGGGACACAAAACATTGGGGTATTTGAGTTGGGGTCTATGGTTAATATTGGGGATCAGGGTTTGTGGTTAATTTTTGGTAGTGAGGTCAGGGATAGGATGTCGAAGTCCAATATTAGGTAATTTTAGGGTTTGGGACACGTAGTTGATGTGAATTTCCTGCACTTTCTAAAAATAGTTACCGTATTTATTCAAGTATAATACTTAAAATTTAATCCATAAAATCGTGCACAAAGTTGGGGGGGTAGTACTATACTCGGATAAATATTTTTGCTGATGTATTTTAACTGAAATATCGACCTCATTCACAAAATACCTGAGTCCGGAAATGAAACCACGTCGTAAAAAGCGGTCGAAGCGATCTTAACTCTAAAGGGCTCGATACACGGGCAGCGACAAACTACAGCGATTAACGGCTGTCATCGCAGCCAGGGTGAAACCCGACACACGGGACGCGATAGCGATSGCAGCGTTGCGAATCGCGCTCTCAGGTCGCTTGTCTTCACAATATTTGATTGGTTCCTGACTCTGAAGGCGGGTGTGCATTACGGACGTGTAAACTAAACAAATCTTGCGATGCTAATGATATTGAAAAACAAACACACATCAAGATACAGTTTTATGAGGAAAAACTTACCATGAACTTCACCCTGGTGCCAATAAATTCCCACAAAGCTTTTTAGTAATCACTTGGTGAAAGTGTTAGCTAACGGCAGTGTGTAGCATACTCTCCTCTCATTGGTCAGTCAATGAAACCCTCGCTGATTGGTTGTACGCTATGCGACAGCGACAAAAGTTGAACATTTTTCAACTTTCATATGTCGCGTCGCAAGCTCGCGTGTGCACATCTACGTGTACGAGCGCGAAATTTCACATGCACTATTTTCGCCGGTCGCTTAGCTAGAGGAGGGCACGCGATTGTCGCCTCACCGCACAGGCTCCATAGGAAATGAATGGAGAGCGAGCGACGTCGCCTCCCGTGTGTCAAGCCCTTAACACTCCTTTGTGCCTCTGATAGTAACAGATCCAAGCAGGCAACATGATGTGAAAAAAAAAGAAAAAAGGCAGTCCTGCATCACGAATTGATATTAATGTGCGACTGGGCCGCTCCTGGAACAACAGTAAACACATGGTTGTAATGGCTGCCGTCTACCCGTGTTCTGTAAAAGTTAGTCTACCTGAAAAAAGTTTCCCCACCAGAGGGGGCGCTCACGAGACACAGAGGATGAGATTGTTGTTGAGTGGGATTCTGATGCCTTTATTACAGAGGAGGAATACCAGAAACTTTTAATGATACTGATGATGGTGAGCCTGATTTTGAAGGCTTTGATTCAGCTTCATCCAGACTTGTTAGAGCCACATAACTCTATCTGTTTGTTATGTGACACCAGTTAACAAATGAGCATTGATAGCTTTTGTTGTAGTTATACATTTGTTGTTGTGTACTTTTTAGTACATATGTTGTTAAAATAAAATTAAAAACTGATACAACAGTCAAATTATAATTTTACTGCAAAGGCTGAAAAATCCTGAAGTCCATATGAAATTAAATTTTTTATGCTTTTTTGGCTAAAAAATGAGGGGGACGTATATTACACTAATAAATATGGTCATTTTCAGAGATCAGGTTTGATGGTTAATTTTAGGTACTAGGGTGAGGGACAGGATGTCTAGAGTGAATAAAGATAATTTTAGGCTTTGGGATGGTTAATTTTTGTGCATTTTCTACACTTTCTGAAATTATGAAAATGGACTCCGCGCCAACTCATCAATAACTCACGTGAAGGGGTTAAAACCGGACACAGGGGGGAACCTTGGAAAAAGTGTCAATATGTGACGAGTTGGGAGTGAGAATGGGCTGGGTGTGCAGGTCTGCAATGACCAGATGAAAATGGAAAAGGCATCGTTTCCACCCACAACAGACACAGCTATTTTTTAGCTGTGAGATCAGTCATGTGATTGGCTGAATTAGTCTCAACAACTTTCAGTAATATTCCTTTTAATGATGCACCTTTTGCCACTTATGTTGTTGCTCCTGCAATAAAGGAAAGTATTTAAAATAAATTAGTTGTGGTCTATATAAAGTGGAAGAGCAATACTTACTCCTAGCTGTGCTCTTTCATAGATGAAGTAAAATGGTAACCCATTTTCATGACCTGCGCACCTCAAAATGAAGGTGGCAAAGATGTTTTTTTTCTTTTTTGTGTGTGATGTGGCGGCGCTTTAGCAGGGTATCACAGCCTTGAGTTTCAGAGCGATTTCTCGTGAACATCTGCAAGTGTAGATGTGTTCAGAGGCTCCTGGTGGACACCCAGGCTCAGTAACAGACTGCATTGATTTGTCACAGTGACTCACTCCGATCTTTGCAGCGGTGCTTTTCTTTGCCTGCAAGAAGCCCCGCTGCCAGTTCTATCCGAGTAAAACAAAAAAAAAGAAGTCCCAAATCCCCTTTTCACCTCGCATAGAACGGTGTTTTAACAATACTAACTTAACTTAACACCTCTTCTTCCAACCTCCCCCTTCCCTGCCTGATCCCTACCCTCCTTCCTTTCCCTCCTTAATTTAATGATATACTTGAGGGCACATAAGACACCCACTTGTTCTCTATCATTCTCTTTCTATATCTCCTTTTCTCTCGCCACAGCAACCACATATCCACAGTGACCAAAACAATAACCTTTGTGTATTTGTCCCCCCTCCCTTCCTCTTCTTTTGTCGGCCTCTTTTATTTCTCCTTATGTTTGACTCCCCCCGAACACACCTCTGTGCGTCTGTGTCCCTCACCCTTAACGCTCCCCATTTCCTCCCCTTCACTGTTTTTTTTTCTTTTGTTCATTTTCACGTCGTCTGTCTCTGTTTTGTTTGTTGTGTGTTGTCGCGCGGGTGACGGATGTGTGTTCCTGTGTGGTGTGTGCGTGCGTGCGTGCGTGTGTGTGTGTGTTTTGTGGCCACTCCAGCGGCCGGATCAGTTACACAGACATGTATCAGATGCTAAGACACATGTGTCCGCCGCTAGGCCTCGGGAAGAGGTGTCCCGCCCGGGTCGCCTATAAGGTAGACTCACACCCGTTCCCACCCCGCCTCACTTTACCCCTCCACCCTCCTCAGCCACCACCTCACTTCTCTCTCTCTCTCTCTCCCTCTCTCTATCTATCTATCTATCTATCTATCTACCTATCCTCACCTCAGTCTATCCTCTACTCTTGCCCCTTTCCACACCTCTCTACCATCCAAAACCTCCCCATCGCTGGGGAGGAGAAACTTCTCTCTCATCTGCTGAGACCTCACTCCTCACCCTCTCCCCTCTACACCTCCCTCCCCTCACCCCCCGTCCCTCTCACCTCCTCCCAGTGGTGTTCTCTTCATTGTCTGTCAGTGGTGGTTGTGGTGGTGGTGAGCGCTACTCTCTCTTCTTTCTCTCCGACCGCGGGGGATGAAGGGATGGGCTTTTGTCGTGCAGTCAAGTGAAGTGATAGTGGAGTGGTAGTGAGTCCTCTTTTTTTTCCTCCCGTCATGCCGCAGAAGTAGGGGAGCGCAGGAGGGTTTGCTAGTCCTTCTGCAATCTACACACATATCTGAAACCTGATTTTCTCAGCAAAATAGTCAGTGCAGCAAAAAAAAATTATAGCAATGGAGAATGTATTTGAAAATGTAGATCACAAGATCTTTTCTGTGCATAGCTCAAATAAATAGTTCAAATATTTTGAAGTAGGATTCTGTGGAAAAGGTATAAAACAATTGACCTTTTGTAGGTAGCTCTTTAAAGAGTCTCCGTTTGGAGAAGTAGCTTAATTTTGAAAAGTCAGATGAGATGATGGCTAGCCCAAGTGTGTTACGATTAAAGTAGAAGGCTGCCGTATTATAACATAAATGTAGAAGATCGAGTATATGCTGTTTTTATATCTTTACATTGTAGTCTTATTGCATCATACACTTACTCACGTATAAAATTATGAATTTTTGCAAACGCAAATAACACCAGCTGAAGCTAGCTGTGTCTGTAATGTGAAACTTATAGTAGTGTCAAGGTTTAAAAAATAGCATTTGCATAAACTGCTATATAATGTGTGAGACAGGAGTTGTTTTAAAATAGCACTTAACTTTGGTCTAGGCATTAGCTCGTCAATTTTGTCAGAATTAATCTATATTTCACCAAACTGAGGTCTTTCAAAGAACTATCTACTATGAACAGGTAAGGTATTAATTGTTCATAACTTTTCCACAAAATTTTACTTAAAAAGCTATGAACTATCTATCACTTCAGTGCAATAAATATAAATTAACCTTATTAACTACCAATTTAAAAACAATACAGTATAATATCCAAAAATGAAATATGGACACTAAAATAGAATCTAATTAGAAATGTATGAGCTTCAGGTTTGCAGAACACTTTATAAATAAAAATATAGGGTTATAAATGGTTCAGTGGGATTTTTGCACAATAAAAGGCTTTATTTAGCATTAGGAAGCATGGATTCTTAATGCAATAATCTCTAGTGTAAGCTCTGAGATTTGGCCAATAATAAAATTAGGTTTATATTAATTAAATGTTTTTCATTATATCGACACTATTCAACTCTTCGCTTGTGATGCAGTTACAGAAGGACCAGTAAATGTGTCTGTCTTTAGTTTCCTGCCTCCCTTATTACTGCGGGTGACGTCATAATGCATTTAAAAACACATGCACACAAACAGACAAATACCATCAAATAAGAAAAAAAATACATACATATGTATATATTGGCCAATGTAGATGATTTCCTTTTATATTCCAGATGATTTGTTCTTTATGATTTTTTTTTTACTTTTAGGATGTTTTGGTGATTTAGGCTTTTTGGAGCCTTTGACTGCCAGTTTACACATTTAGGTTAAGCTTTTTTTTAGCATTTACTGTCTGTCTTGTCTTCTTTTCATCTCTACTTAAATAATGTCCTGCTTTTTCTGTCAATTTATTTTCATAATTTTCTTTGTCATCCAGATTCACCAAAAACAGTATTTAAAATATTTTTCGAGTGCACTGATGCTCCAAAATGAACAGTTTGACTAATGATGTATGTAGAGCGAAGCCCTGATTTTTGCTGGGGTTATGTTCTTAGAGTACCGCGAATCATGAAAAAAAGAAAATATGGGATGTGGTCCAGAAGGCTGTTTCACAAAACTACGATGGCTGATTAAGCCTGGATTTTCCAGATATCCTGGCTGAATTAAGCCTCGATTCGGTTTCACAAAAGCAGCTACTACGGCTGTTTATCCAGCACAGCTGGCCTTCTCCAGACCAGGCTTAGTTAAACCTGGTGTCTTATCTGTTCAGTCAGTGGTCACTCTCATCAGAAATCACTGTGTTTGTCAGTGATTCTGTCTGTTATGGACTTTATCAGCCTGCATTAAAATATTGTTAATTAATTTTGACCTTCAGTCAAGTACTGTTATTATTTTAACATTCTGATGGTTGTCAAAAATTTGATAATTCTCCATGTGGGCACTGTTACTGTTCGATTGTGTTTCTGAATCCTGTTCTACGTTTGACAGAAAGGCCTTTAATAGACTATCACATGTGAGAGGATTTGAGAAATGACTGATGAAGCAATGTTGTGAATGAAGTCAAACCATACAAGTAGCTCTAAAAACATGTCGTCCTCTACAACAGCATGCCCATTTTTGAATGGCATTGTTGATGATGAAGCACTTATATTGAGAAAGGTTTTGAGACAGGAAAGAGTGTTTCAGCACAGGTCCAACCCGCTGGCTTTTCCTGACAATTACCTTCATGAGTGTAACAGTTTTTCTGGAGATGGCATCCTCTACCTGTGCAGACTGCTGGGTCCTAAAATTCATCCCTGCAACAAGCGGTCCATATCATGCTACAGAAATGTGTGATTATGTTGCATAGTTAGTAGTAGTGTGATGTACCGTGTGTGAAGGATAAGTTCCTGTGGGTGGGACAAAGTCAGTGACTGTCCATCTTGGATCCTTTCTAAAATAGTCCTCCCTTTATTTAAAACAAGGGCCAGCTCTTCTGCTGGTGTGAATTCTGGGGAAGATTGGCCACGCCCTGTGCCAGACACGTCTTTTTTTATGGCTAAAATAAAGTTTGGGATGAAATATGTGAGCAGGCACCTTCTAAGTCAGAGGTGCCCAAACATTTTTCCCGAGAGGGCCAAAATGAAAATCTGTTCATGGCTGTGGGCCAAATGCAGTAATATAATACATGAAATACAAATACTTTTAAGTAAAGTCCTTTATTTTTAACAATTAAGCTAGCAGCCTGTGCAATGGCCCTCTTTTGTTTTAGTCTGAGCACTTTGAGAAAGTCTGCCTTACGCTTAAGTAGCAAAGGCTCATGGGACATTTCATAAATTGATAAAATATGAGTTTTTGCGGCCTTATAAAGTGTGCAAATCTACATGTGGGGTTAAATCTGATCTAAATATCTCTTGTTGTTACTTCATGTTTCCTCTTTAATCCTAATACTTTATATATCAAAGATAAAGTCAGCACCATGAACAAAAACTACCTTCAGCCCTTTATATAGTCATTTGACCAATGGAAATCCTGTGTTTCTACATAGGGTGACAGGTTAAAACCTTGTAAGTTTGGCAACTGTTAGTGGGCCAAATCAAATGGCTTGGCGGGCCAGATTTGGCCCACGGGCCCCACTTTGGGCTGCTCTGTTCTAAGTCATCAGTACAAGTCATTTGTACATCGTAGTCGAGATTTTTTCCAGATACGCACCAGTCTGCAAATTGTTCTTATGTTTAATCTTGACCTGTTGCCAAGTTCTCTTTGGTCCATTCATGTTCATACTGTATACATATTGATAAGATGTGTAACAAAACAGAGTAACATGAATGAATCTGCTGTCAGATTCACACGTTACATTCTAGACTTCCACTGTTCATTTGTAAGTTAAAGTTATTATTTTTTTTACAATGTTTTCCATTAGGAGTAGTGGTTAAAAATGTTTATATTAGGTATGCAGGCGATCTTTGTTGCTTTTTTATAATAGCAGCAGTGTTTCCCTTCTTTATTATGATGTGCTTGATTTCCTCATAAGCCACTATCAAAAGATGTTGCTCATTTGGTGAGAAGTATGGCGCACGCATTGTATCACCCATTGAATCTGCTAATCTATGATCGATCTCATGGTCTTTTGTAGAATTATGTGGACGAGCATTTTTACTTACACCTGGCTTGACATAGCTGCACCTCTTCAGCCTGGTTTGGCCTTTGTGAAACGGATGAAGCCAAGACGAACCAACTTATGTCGAGCCTATTCATCACTTATCCTGGATTTTGAATTCTGCTTTTGTGAAACAGCCCTCAGAAGAGAGCATTGCAAACACCCCTGCATTTGGGGTGGCATCGTAATGCGATACGAACCAAACAAAAACATGCAGGAGCTAAAAAGTTAGCAGCTACACATCACATGGTACTATGTAAAAATGCTGTGTACCGGGCAGAGCGCAGGCACAGGACATGCATCCTATATTGTACTGTATTGTTGATTTTTTATGGAACTGAATATACATTAATATTTACATTACAAAGAAGTAATTTATTTTAATAATTTAGCTTGAAAATTCACGATAAATCTGAGGAACACCGCGAACCACTAGTAGTTAGACTCCATGAAAACATCTGCAAATACTGAGTCAGCAAACTGTGAAATGCAACTTTGCAGAGCTTCACTGTAGTGCCAATATGTTCAAACGAAAAGCAGATATTTCTGTTTGTACATTTTAAAGCTTGGCGGCACTTTTAGTTGAGCCAAGAATGATCTGAATGAAGATCAAACATTTACCACCAGCTTCTTGTCTGTAATAGTTTTTCTTCCTTTTTTATTTTATTTTAATTTATTTTTTTTTACAAATTTGAGTTATTAGATTATTCACATGTAGGAAGTGGCTTTATCTGATATTTTTCTAATATTATAAATAAGCTATGAAGGTTTTTTATGGTTAATATTTAGACACAGAAATACAAGCAATAATTTTGTTAATTCTTTATGATTCATTGAGACATCCGAGTAAAAAACGTATTTATCAGTTTCTGTAAATTTGACTGAATCTGGGTGTTTGTCCCTCAGATTGCTTTTTTATCTCTTTACCTTTTGCTACTTATTTGTTCGCATTTTCTGTTTCCAGCTTTCTTTCTTTTTTTTTTTTTTTTTTGGCTAGTATTTGTTGTTTCTTTTTTTCTGCCTAACAACTGTCTCACTCTTTCTGTCAATTTGTCCATCTCTAATTGTCTGCCAGCAAACATGATCCATTTTCATCCTCCATCATCCTGGCCATCCAAGCCCACACCTCTTCTTCACTCTGGCCTGTCTTCTAGTTTCTTTCCAGAACGGTCAGCTCGTTTCAACAGATGCCCTCATTACATGTTTCAGCCATTTTACTTTTTAATTATTTACTTGTACATGGGGTGGGGGTGGGGCGATTTAAGGGCCCTTTCATATCAGAAAGCAATATAGAATGAAAACGTGAACGTCTAAAACTTGTTATCCTCATGTTTGGGTGGAGTTTTTTTTTTTACTTGTTTTTTTAACTCTTTCTAAAAAGAGGAATTTGTAATAAGTGGTCATTGCCAAGGCACCTTGTTTCTTAAACTGACCTCTAAGCCTGTGTCAGTGTTGTTTTTAAGTCCTTGTCTTTCTCTCTTGTGGTGTTCTGTAATTTTCAGCCACTCCTTTTCTCTTCTTTCTCAACATACACACGGCTCTTTTCTCTGTTGACTCCAGATGACTCGTGTTTTAAAATCCTCCTATATTCTTTCACAATCCTCCTCTTCCCTCCTCATCATCACCCTTCCCTTTTTATCTGTAACCACATCTCATGACTGAGCTTAGATTGGCCTAGTTTAGCTAAACTAACTGCTGTCCCTATCATGTGCTCCCCTTTATGCACCCCATCCCCTGAACCTAGAGCACTATTACCACCAATTCTGGATGGTCCAACATTGTTTAAAATACAGAAAAAAAACACTTCAGTCATCTTTTTGATCTTCCTTTTTTCCCCTTCCTTTCAGGCAATGCCAAATCTCAAATCCTTTTTTAACTCTGACACCCACCTAAGACACTGCACCCGTTTAGCATTGAGAGAAATCTTCACATGAAATAAAGTACTATCATTGCTGTTCAATTTGGGATTGACCAAAAAAGCCATGAATATGAACATTTAAATGTAAAAAGTGTAGCCTAAAGTAGAAGTGCCAATCCTGTTGGATTAAGGATACTCTCTTTGCGCGGATGCACGGCTGCTTGTATTGTAACAGTGGGTTTTGAGGGAAGTTGATGGGCAGTGGGTTGGATGGGTGGGAGAAGTTGGGGCTTAGGTAACTGGGGTGAAGCGAAGGCATGCTGCATGCTTTCTCCGCGTTTGTGGGACTTTTTCGGGGTGTTGTTGAGTGTTGCATGCGAACCCTTGCCCCCTCTTTTTGTCGCATGGCTTCGGGTGACATCAAAGCTGCTGCCTGCCGAGCTTTGTGGATGTTGGCCGATGCCCTTCGCCTGCCACGCACTTGGCTTCGGGCATGCCCAACACTCGCACACACTCAGGAACACACGAGCATGCACACGAGCCTATACCGCCATGCCGTGCCTTCCATCGTGAGTGCCCAACGCTCATGTTCGTAGGTAAATCCGATGGATGTTAACTAGTCAGAATAGGTACGGCAAGCAACCCACACTGGCCCAGCTTGTTTTTTCCTATCTGCAGGTTCCTCCATCTGTTTTACCTGGCATAGATATGTGAAGACAGGGAACCTCCTTGCTGGTAGGGGGAGCTCAATAGCAAGTGCCTTGGTTAAATAAAACCATAGTTGTCTCCTGAAAACAAATAGCAGAATTACACCAGTGATACTGTTATTGCTCCTCAGTCAACTGATTTTTGTCCCCTTAGGACTCCAATTAAGTTCTCTTAATTGCAGTCTGTGAAAGTAATTGTGTGTTAGTGGGCAGGGAGAGATGCTGGGCGGGACTTGGGGCGTTGGTGTATGTCAACTGTCATATACATATGTATATAAATCTATATGTGTGTAACAACAAAAATGTGTAAATGCGCACAAGCATTCACACATATAGGGAACATGGGCACAGGTTGGGTCGGATGCCGTTTTGGCTCTTGATTGTTCTTTCTTGTGGTTTTTCAGCTCTCACAGTTGCTTAGCAGCATTGGATAGTTGTGCTGTCTCATAGAGTATCACTGGAAAAACAGGAGACACGTCAAAGCAAGTGCCCTTGCACTTGCGACTACATAATAAACACAGCTACGTAGCAGAGTTAATGCACCAGAGTTCAACGATGACATTTGCTTATACTCATATTAATTCGAAGACATGTAAAAAAAATAATTTACAGGCTTAAAACTGAGTTGGTCTGGCCTCGAGAAGCAAAATTATAATGAAAAAGGGATAAATCTTGTCCAATCGTAACTGGCAGTTTGTCTATGGAGCTCTCTCAACTCGGTCCCCAGCCCCTCCCCCATTCCCCTCCCAGAAAGCTCAGGCACACCCAACATTAGCGAGGGCACCTCCCTTTCTCATCCTCTCATCCTGACTGGCTCTCCACAGAGGCTGCTTCGCATGGATCTGCCAGTTGCAGATGACAACACGGTGCACTTTAACTCCACCCTCATGGCTCTGATCAGGACAGCACTCGATATAAAGATTGCCAAGGGTAAGATGTAAAAAAAAAACGCTGATTTAGCTTTTTTGAATATGTATCAAATAATGATTCTGACACCCTAATGTCTTTATTTTTTCTTCCTTAAAGCATGTTTCAGCTCATTGTACCACTTCCTGTCAGTTGAGACTCTAACAAATGATTTTATTTGCTTTGGGTGAATGTGTATGTGTGTGAATGGGTGTACACGTTTATTTTGTAATTTTTGTGACACTGTTCTTTTATTATGTATCCCCTGGCTTTGGGTTTCTCTGCGTTGGTTGTTTTCATGTATTCGACCTTGCATATTTGGTGTGTGTGTGTGTGTGGGTGTGATTGTTCTGGGTCGTGGGCAACCCAGGCGGTGCAGACAAGCACCAGATGGATGCAGAGCTGAGAAAGGAGATGATGGCCATCTGGCCTAATTTATCGCAGAAGACTCTGGACCTGCTGGTTACTCCGCACAAGGGTAAGTTGCAGGGCAACAGATCATAGCAGACATAGTGGTGTGTATGTGTGTCCGATCACCAACTCACCAAGAGGACAGCTTCTTCCAGTCAGTGTCATTCACTGCTTTGCATCTCCTGATCAGACAATTCAGCATAAACACTTTACACTACACATTCATGCATTCAACCAATAACATTTTGTGGCTTTTATCTTTTCAACATTGTGCAATCTGGAGTAAAACGAAGTGAAATGAGAGCTGCAGAACTCACTTAGTTCTTACTTAACTTTGCAGCATTGTCACTTATTCAAAGTTTATGTCGTTAAGTATATCTGTCCCAAATCAAGATCAAAAATACTTTCTGGCTGGATATAAGAGTGCAAGACTTCATTAGAAAGACAGTTTATCCATTGTGCCCTTTGCCAGTATTCAGTTATTCTGCAAATATTGCATTACAGTTTCCGCTTTGTTATCCTTTTAACATAAAGCTGTAATGGCAGAAACGGACTTGGTGTCATTTTGAGGGAACGTAGGGGTTCTGGAGGAGGGTGTTGTGTTGAAAATAGCTGGAAAATCACCATAATGGGTGTGAAAAGGAGGGTTACATTCATTTTTCAATTTTCTAACTTTAGACGAGTGTTTAAAAAAATAAAAATCACGGCGCATCGGAAGCAAAATCTAAAATCAAGAATTTCATATTTTCTGTCTAATAGAAATAAGTGTTAAAGGGGCAATATTATGTGTTTCTCAGGCATACATTTAAATACTATACCATAATAAAGTATCTGTCACCTTTAGTTGATATTAAAATGCTGTTTTTTATGTTTAAATAGAAATTAAATTTATCTTCTCATCACTTCATCTTCTAAACGACTTGAAATTGGCTTCTGTCTCTTTAAGAACCACCTTCCGTTTCTGTCTCGCGGGGGGTGGGCTGCTATGATGCAGTTTACTTGGCATCTGAAAATACATTTCCTCAAAAGGTATTTTGAATCTGAAAAGAGCTTCACTGAATAAGACGTAGTGGAGCTCAGCAGACAGTTAAGTTTCACTTTCAATTTCACCCGAGAGCCTGCAGGAGTCATGGGCGGGGTGTGTGGGGAGGAGGGAGGGGGTGCGCTCTGCCATGAGGAAGTTCGACTTAAAGACACGTCCCAGCGGTGTTTCTGGTCCCAAAAGGCGTTTCTGGTCCCCGCCTGTCGTTTTGCTCCTCAGCATGGCTTCCTAAAAACGCTGCAGGATTTCTCAAACATGCATGAATGAGTCAAAGCAAGGCTTTGGGCATGTTTTTTATGAGAATTTAACGTTATAACATGATATAAAACTCAAAAAAGTTTATTTTACATGATATTGCCCCTTTAAATGTCTCTGATCTTCCTTGTACCTGTCGAGATCCAGGGGTAGCTGACAGAAGAGGTGTACTTGATTAAAAAGTTGATTTGTCAATGGTTAATTCAATTTACCTGGGAGTTATAGTTATGAAAGAGTTTAGAGCCTTTCTCTATTTTTGTGCAAATGTGCAAAATAGTCCTCCCACAGGGTAATGTCATTGTTTACACACACACATACCCACACCATGATCTCTCCATCCACTCACTAAGTGCTGATATCAGGGGGTGCCAACTATAGAAGATCCTCTATAGAAGTCTTTTCACTACAGGAAGAATTTAGAAGAGAATAAACTTGAAAACTGTACCTCTGCTGTTATGTTTACATGAATGGCATGAATTAAAATAAATTTCAAGTAAATCTGTTGCTTTACTGAAATAAGCCAAACACAAGTTTGCTGCTATAATATAAAGTATGTTAATAGTAATAATGCATGTTTTGCATTAATATTAAGCAGTTTGGCTAAATGCATGGCTAAAGACATGAAAAGAAAATGTAGAATCAGCTCGACAAAGGCAGACTTATAGCCATGCCACTTTGAAAAGGGGGGGCCATGTGTACAATTTAAAACTTGGTCACAACAACAAGATGTTTAAAATCGAAACACAGCTCAATTATTTTCTTATTTTAGATGGGGTTCCATCTAAACTTTGGTAATATATGACCAGAGTTTTTAGAAAATATTGAGCTCCTGTTTTCCAGGAATCATTTGTGTCAGCGTTTCTTAGTGAGATGGCTAATTAGTCTTCACCTTTGAGGAAAAGTTTGAATTATGTTAAGACTGTGAAGTAGTGAGGAAATGCTGAATGAGTTCAATATCTGCCTGTGAAAAGACTACAAGCCTTATTGTGATAATAAGTCTATGTTGTTGTGTAATCGTGTTGTTGCATGCCAGCAATGTTAGACAGCTGTTACTAGCTTTTAAAGCAACAAATACATATTATTGTTAGCCTCCATTTACAGTGTAATAAATCCCTTTTATAGGCTATGAAATAGATTTTAGGAACCCAGTGTTATCTCTTCAGAAACTCCAGAAAAGGAATAAACTCTTCGTACAAATTGGTTACAGTTAAAAATGAAGTTTATGGCTAAATTAAACATTTTAACATCTTGAATTTAAGATTTTGATGTGCTGAGTTTACGCTAAAGGGATAGTGCAGGTTCTTTTGGAAGTAGGTTGTGTCCAGTACTTCTGAGACGCAAGTATCTTACCTGCAGTGAAACGTTTGAGTTAGGGTTAGCAAACAGAGAGCAGAAAAGAGATTTGTTAGCAACATGTGCAGTTATCCAGTCTATTTTTTGAAACCAGATCATAGAAAAACTTTGGTTTTGCTACTTTTCCTTTTGCTGGATTTGAATATTCTTTGGTTTATCTGCCTCCAACCTTCTAGTTTTTCCTTTTAAATAATCCACCTCATTTATAAGTTATAATTTTGCTCACCATCATACTAAGTCTACACAAAATCACATCCACTCACGCTCAAAGCACATTATTTTTAATCCACCCTCACTGGCGAAAGCCTGTGGCTTTGGGCGGAGCCTAGACTGAACAAAATTAGCCCCAATGAGCAGAAAACCGAGGGGGCGGGACAAGACATCTGTCAATCATTTTGTGTCAAGAAAGACATTAAATGAACGAGGTTGTAAAAAGTTAATCCTTTGGAAAGACTCTGGGATTTTCTCAAGACCGTTTGGCACCAGTTTTATTGTACGTTCCACAAAACGTGATGCAGTTTTTTGTTTTTTGTGATGATAAGGTATTTTACCGTTTTTATTGTAAACACAAGGGAGAGTTTAGCTCTACTATATCAGCTGTTCTTGAATATGGATCAGTTGTTTGATTTTTCATAAACATGTTTTTTATTTATTTATTTATTTATTTATTTATTTATTTATTTATTTATTTATTTATTTATTTGTTTATTTTGGTACTTCCATCTTCTTCCAGATGCTTTTATTTTTTAAAAAAAGGTCTTATGTTTCAACAAAGGTTAAAATAAATACTGAGTTCAGTGAAACACAGCTGTCTCGATTGCTGGTGTGTTCTGCATGCCGTTGTGTATTTCTCTGTGTTTTTGTGTCTTGTTCCCCACTCCCAACTCGCCCCACATGGCTCAGGGTCCCATCTCACTCGGGTCTAATCTTCCAGGGTAACTTGTCATTTTCTCAGCAGCCACAGACTTGACGGTGGGCAAAATCTACGCCGCTATGATGATCATGGAATACTACCGACAGAGCAAGACAAAAAAGATGCAGGCCCTGCGAGAGGAACAGGTAGACTCCGTCCCCAGCATCCGGGGGAAATCCCTGAAATGCACCGAGGTTTTTGGTTTTCTACTTCACTCCCCAGCAACCTTTTAAGGACACTTCGTCGACTTAGCTCTCCTGACCGAATCGTGCATTTTGTCTGCTAAATACTGATTACAGACACATGCAACCCTTACTTTGCTTTCAGTAGATGCTTTATTCTTTTCAGCATGCACCCTGATCATCTTCTAAGTACCTTGTTTCTCCGTCAACCAGTGTTTTTTACAATCCGTACTAAAGTTGTTTTATATTTCTTTGAATTTGTTGAAGTGGCGGGGGGGGGGGGGGTGTTCTGAAAGTTTCACTGCCTTTTTTTATTTAGTTTTTGCTCCCAATGTTTACGCCAACATAGATGATACCACATTGCCTCACCATTTGTTTATTGTCCGTGCTTCTCCCCGCCTGTCGATGAATGCCTGCGTGATGCACTCGCTCCCACCCTCTCTCCATTTTCTGTCCACGCTGTGGATGTGTGGAAACATCTCTTTACATGTAATGCCTCCTGATTTCACACAAGTCCATGAAAATTTTTCAATAAATCTTCTCATCATTGACTTGAATTCATTTCTAAAGTGGGAATGAAGCATTTTTCATATTGGCTTTCATGTACTGAGTTTGTGAATTCAGAATGCATTGATATGTTGCTGAATGGAACTTGTGCCTGTGATCTGAACACAAACTCTCTCAAAATCAACATTAGTCTCCAGCTTGTGTAGGTTTTGTTTTTTGTTGGGACGGCTGTGGCGGAGTGGTTAGGGGAGTCGTCCTGGAACCGGAAGGTCACTGGATCGATCCCCCGTCCAGCCGTCTCAGTCGTTGTGTCCTTGGGCAAGACACTTCACCCACCTTGCCTACTGATGGTGGTCAGAGGGTCCGGTGGCGCCGGTGCATGGCAGCCCCACCTCTGTCAGTGTCCCCCAGGGCAGCTGTGGCTACAGTGTAGTTTGCCATCATCAGTGTGTGAATGTGAGTGTGAATGGGTGAATGTCTGTTAGTGTAAAGCGCTTTGGGGTCCAGAGGGACTTGAAAAGCGCTCTATAAGTTCAGTCCATTTACCATTTACCATTTTTCCCTCCATCTGCACATCATCTCACTTAACCTATGTCCTGTTTTTCACCATTTTTAATTACCTTTTTAAAAAATGAATCCACCCAAACCAACATATCATTGATTTAAAAGACAATGGGCCTCATGCAAGAACATGTTCGTATTCTTATCCTAAATTTCTCTTACTTTTGTTCATATGCAAGGTTCATACGAACATGCCACGTCAGATTCAACAAACTCTTCTATCTTCAGGAAAAGTGTGTAAATGAGCTACGTAAACTGATGAATGTGTATCAGGTGCTCGTGCACGGGGAAAGGAGATTTGCATAATTACCACCCCAAAAACACCATATAAGGCTACATTTCCTGCCTCACATACCAGGAAGTGTCCATTCATAAATGACATCGCAAAGTAAAAAAGAAGAACTTTGAGTTCAGAGATTGAAGTTCTGCTCTCAGAGATCCAGAAAAAAGAAATGTAATTTTTTGCAGCGTCAGACCTGCTAAAGCCAAGGAATGAAATGACGACAACTGCTGTTAATGTTGTGTCTCCTGTGGGTCGTTACAGTCACAGAAATAACAATCTAAATCATATTCATCTCTCTCTAGTCCAGCTCTAGTTCTTCTTTGGTCAAATATTTTTAATTTAAGTGTCAGATGTGGTTCTGAAAAAAAGCATTTTAGAATGTCTCCAAACTTCAATCAATGCATAATTTAAGTTGGTTTTTAGTTTGTGATCTTCATATTAATATTGGAGTGTTATACAACAGCATTAATAGCAAATTTAATTTAATCAGTTTATGTCATTAGTTCCATTTAAAATCTAATTCCAATTCAAACAGAATAGCCTCTTGTCAAGATAATTATAGAGTGTGATTTATTTTCAACTCAAAATATCTTCAAACTAGTGAAATATAAAGTTATTAATGAGAAAAACCCGTCTGGATAACAGCAGACTGACTGCTCGTAAAATATACAACAGGTCTGGACCACTCGTGAATTTTGTTCGTATCTGAAAAAAATCTTAGAATACGAGAAAATTGGTGAATGCCACAAATTCTCCTAAATCACTCGTACACACAACTTAAGAACAAATCTGTGCGTACGAACAGTTCTTGCATGAGGCCCGATGTTTGCGTCTAAAAATTTGGTATTTTTGCCTTTGAGTCAATCAACTGTATGTTTTTTTTTAAGTGTAGTCTTTTAAAAAGTTCATAAGGTTCATCCCAGATCAGTCTGAGAAGTTCTCCCCTCTCATTTGGAGTCATTTGAGTTGACAAATCAGCTCCTCCTGCAAGTCTAAGCTATTTATGAAATACAAGTCACAAAGACAGAAAGAAGTTCACAGAAAAACACTATATCTTTATAGCAAGTATTTTAGGTTCAAAAAATGGAAAAGTTTAACTTTAATGTGGAAAAGGAACTGATTGAGGTAACTGGTTGATGATAAAAGTATGCTAATAAAACCAGTAAAAGTATTCATTTTTACGTTATCAAACTGACAACAAATATAATTTAGTTTCCAATTGTAATTTATCTATTTGAAGTACGTTGCAGAAAAGAAAACAAGACTAGCGATGTTTTGCCAGAATATCTGATCTTGGAAGTTACTGTTGTTGTTTTTTTTCCCTAGTTTATATAAAAATGCATTTTTAAACAAGTACAGGCAAAAAGACATTTTTATGTAAAGTTAAAGAACTGAGAATGGATTCTTTACTCTTTCATTTGTTCTACTTGTCTTATTTTACCTTAATTTTTTTTTCTTTCAATGCGTCCTTCATTCCAAATCACTTGTCTTCTTTAATATTTGTTCTTTTTGCATGTCAAGAAAAAAAAAGATTTTCTTCTGTGTCTTCTGTTTGTCGGTTTGTTTGAAGTGAGCAGTTTGTTATACTGGTCTCCCTATCCCATCTCTTCTTTTCTGTTAGTCTCTGTCCTTTGAGGAGGAGGTAAAACCTTCACCCACTACTACAACTCAAACCCATTCTCTCCTTTCATTGTGCCTCCGAATGTTTGTGGGGTGTATTTGTGGTATATTAGGTGTACACTCCAGTCACCGGTAGCTTCCTGTGTCACTCCTGAACCAAAAATTAAAATCTAGCTCTCCTCTTAAACTTCATTTATTAGAGCTGTTTTGGTGTTACATTATTATGTTTCATCCACAATCTTTTCTGTAAGTTTATCCCGTGAATTTAGCAGGATTGATCTGTGGATAAGCCAGGCGGATAAAAAGAAACTTTTCCTGATAACTAAACTGCATATTTGACTTTATATACTTGTGCTTTGATAGATTTTTGAGTTTAGTTCAGGGGTGTCAAACTCATTTTCACCAACAGTCACTTGAGCATTTTGTTGCCCTCAGAAGGCCAATTTTAGTTAATTTCAAGTCTTTAGTTAGTTAACTTTGACGTTTCATCTTTAACTTACTGACTAAACATGAAATGTCACGTTCCTCATCTCATTGCTCCAACTGAGCACTGCTAACAAACAATAACTGAGCTCTACATGGTGTTTCCTGCATAGAATCAGTGTTGAAACACATCCTCTTGTAATCACTGAAAAGTACTACGTGTACAACTAACTAAATGTGAAATGAACAGGACAGAAGTGCTATTAAAAGTAAAGAATCTCTGTTAAGTTGGGGTGAGTAGTTTCTGTCTTGAGTTCTGAACTCACACTTTTCACCAGTCCCAATTCCCAGTTCTGTGCAGCAAAACTAGCTGGCAAAAATGCAACGAAATGGAAAACTCAGTGACTTTTGCCCAGAACTGGCTACTTTTGAGCCCTGTGCACCTCCACCTAGCTGTGGGATGCTGTCATTTTGTGGATAAAATACCAAATTTGGGGGCTGTACTTTATGGTCAGTGCTGGCTTTAAAGCAGCACACGTTTATTTTAAGAGATTAATACAAATTTGAAGCTCTCGCAGGCCGCATAAAATGTTGTGGTGGGCTGCATTTTTCCAGCAGGCCTTGAGTTTGACACGTTTAGTTTAAATGAAGTAAAGTTCCATTTGACTGTATCTAGGATGTGTTGCATTTTAGCTACAGTCAGCTATTCAGTCTACAATCAAAAGTCTGTTATTTTTATCAGTCCACACTGTAGTCAAGTGAGCTACCTGTCTAACAGGATAAACTGACTCGTCGAGGAGGACAGTCTATGACTTTGTTTTTGAAGAGGTCTCACATCCTCTCTGGTCCACAGTTTTTCCACTGCGAGGTGATAAGTCACAGATTCCAGTTCTGTAAAGATGCTTTGGCATCTCTAAGCTCTAACAAGTCTGATGGAAGCAGAGGTTTCTTTGTGGCACAGTTAGTTCAGAATCAGAAATTTTGCCTTCAACCTAATGACGTTACTCAAAAAGTTTGGCTAATGACAGATGACTGTATTTCCCAGTATGTGTTTTTGAGTAAAAGGTATGGGGTGCCGTTTGTAAAGTTACACAGTCAAAAATCACCCCCAACATTTTTGTTTTATTTAGCCTTTTATAAGAAAAAAAGAACAGATTTAATTTTCAAAATCTGTTTTTCGCGGCACGGTGGCTCAGTTGGTAGAGCTGATGCCTCTCAGCAAGAAGGTCACCGGTTCAAATCCCGGTCCGGGGACCTTTCTGGGTAGAGTTTGCATGTTCTCTCCGTGCATGCGTGAGTTCTCTCCGGGTACTCCGGCTTCCTCCCACAGACCAAAAACATGGCTGTTAGGTTAATTGATAACTCTAAAATTGTCCCTAGGTGTGAGTGAGAGAGTGAATGGTTGTTTGTCTCGTTTGTCTCTATGTGTGGCCCTGTGATGGACTTGCGACCTGTCCAGGGTGTACCCCGCCCCTCGCACTGTGACTGCTGGATATGGGCACCAGTGACCCACGCGACCCTGAAAAGGAAGAAGCGTGTACAGAAAATGGATGGATGGATGTTTTTCGCCATATGATTCATACATTAAATGTCATAGTTTATAAACTAAATATTTAACTTACAAATTAAACATTTAGTTAATAAGCTAAATATTTAACTTGTGACTTAAATATTTCGTTTTGAGCTAAATATTTAGGTAGCAAGCTAAATATTTAATTTGCAACCTAAATATTTAACTAGCTAGCTAAATATTTAACTTAAATATTTAGGTGGCTAGATAAATATATTTTGCAACCTAAATATTTAGGTAGCTAAATACTTACAAATATTTAATTTGTAAGTTAATATGTAGTTTATAAACTATGACATTTGTAAATATATGAATCATATGGTGAAAAACTGTCTTTGAAAAAGAAATCTGTTTTTTTTTCTTATAAAAGGCTAAATAAAACAAAAATATTGGTGGTAATTTTTGACTGTGTAACTTTACAAATGGCACCCCATAAAAATGTCTGTTTACTTCATTATTTTATCTATCTAACGGTGTGTTGCGACATATGAATTAGGAAACAATTTTACCTCAAATTCATAAAGGTAGAAGTTCTACTCTGACACAGATCTGAGATCAACTCTCTCCTTGAACATAAAGCAAAGTATTGCAAATGAAAATGCATCGAAGAGTTGTCAGTGACTTCCTAAACACTGGTTCAGTGTGGCTTGAAGGATCCAGATCAGTGGTCCGGCTGAGAACTTTGCCTCAGACATCCACAGCCATGTGCTTGCTGATGGCGCCCCTGTGTGGGTGCATGCCGCGAGAGCATCCTGTGTTTGTGTCCTGTGTCTCCCCCCGAGTGTGCCTGATGCAAGCCTGCAGGCCATGTCATGTATCTCACACAGAACCGAACGCCATTAATGTTTCAGCGCATGGAGGCGCCCTCTGAAGGAGGGGGCACCGACGGCCAGGGGGGCCAGAGCCAAAATGGCCTCCCCAACACCCAGCTGGACAACATCAACAGCATGTGAGTAGAGTGAAGGACGGCAGGGATCTAAAATGCTCTGCACTTAAATGAGCAAATCAAAATAAAGTCGCATATAATCACACATGTACACAATGGCTTCCACAACTTTTACACATAATTTTCAGCAAGAACATTTGATTGTTGGTTTATAAATGATATGACATTAAGCTGTACTAAAACCAGTAGATTATTATTTTTAAAGCTGCAAAATGATGATGTTGCCCATTAAAGTGTAATGTTATCCAGTTTACTGATTATTTATTATTACTCCATAATAATAAGGCAAATCTTTGCAGTTAATTTGGTGTGTGTGTGGTTTATTTATTTATTTATTTATTTTTTTGCCAGACCTCCTGAAGGTGGCATGACTGAGAGCCAATCGTGGATGACGGCCAAGGCCCAGGAAATGTTCCAAAAGACGGGCAACTGGAGCCCGGACCGAGCGTATCCTGATGATCTTCATGAAAACCGCCACAACCCTCAGGTATGACCAGTCTAAGCACGCTGTCATCCTCTTACCACATCCATCTTAGTCCAAGTGTTTCTGGTTTAACAAATGGGTCTGAAGATACAGTTTGGAGAGGCAGGAGACTTCTAAGAAACCCTGCGGTTGCAACACATTCATTGTGTATGTGTGTACATGTACATACTGTTTATAACAAAAAGGAAAACACATAAAAGAGTTTTAAGAGCTAAAATTAATGACAAAATAAAAGTGCTTTTTTTTGGTTCCACGGGCATTTTTTTAAATCTGTGATTTCCTGTCAAACATCATAGTTTTCAGTTTCATTGTTGTGTAGAAACATAAAAACAATTATATCCTTCACACACTTCATCAGTTCTCTGACCTTCTCAGCAAACTTCAATAATTCATAGAGGAGTTTCCACTTTTGTGTCCAAACGTTGTCATTTTTACACCTGACTACAGATCTCTCCTTTTTATTTCATCATCTTCCTGCTCAAAGTCTGTTTCCATTATTTCTATAACCTTATCATTCCCCTGTTTTTCATCCACCCTGTTAACTACTCAACCTTTTTTTTTTGTTGGTTTTGATTTTGGACTTGATGGATCCGTTTTGTGATGCGCACCTGTTCCCTCTTCACTACCCCTTTCTTACTTTCACTTGTCTGTTGGGACGCCCCAACTCCCCCAGAGCTTTATCTCGGTTGGAAATTCAATGTCACGTGCAGGAAGATGAAATTTGGTTTTTGCCTTAAAAAAAGGCTTAAATTTGAAAAATCTCTGCCCCAGATTTTAAATCATTAGCTTAGCTGCTTTTAACTTGAAAGGTATCCGTGTAGTGAATGTTTTTTTTTACTTAAATTCGGATTATTTAATGTCAAATTTTAATCTGATCTGATTAATACAGAGCTTAGCTCAATACTTTACACATTTATAATGTTTAATTTAGTTTTTAATCAAACAAACCTAGCAACAGCCAATTTATCCAGCTATCTGTTGCATAAATGATGATAGAATCCCTATTTTTTTTACTACTTTTCTTATAGAAAGAAAATAAGAAGTAGGTTTGTTTATAGTTGCTTACATTTTATGGCCCTCCCTTGGTTGGTCAGCGACCTCACGGCATGTTCGTGTCCACTCCCTCAGAAGACAGTGGTCACGCCCCTCCCCCTCTCATTGTGTTTTGCAGACTGTAGAGATGAGGGAGATGGGGCGGGACGGGTACTCCGACACTGAGCCCTATCACCCAGTGGATGGGCATGGGCGGACCCTTTCCATGCCCCGCCTCTCGGCAGACAACCAAGTGAGCACATTCATCCCACCATCGTCATCACTATCACCTGTCACCTTCATCCATCTCTGTCACCATCATGCCTGTTAGTTGGCAACAGTTGAAGTGAATCCACAAAGTACTTCTTTCTCAATTAAGAAGACATGAAGCTATATATCTATATGAAGCCTAAATTTAAAAAAGTTTCTATTTTGGTTTTTTTTATAAAACAGCTAGTATAACCTCATCTACTCTATGTTATTATTTGACAAAATAATATCAGTTTATGTTTTAGGAATTTAATGTGACAGTGATTAAACTAACAAAGGCATTTAACTGCTTGCCGATTAAACCTTTTTTATTTGTCTTTTGCCATCTGAAGGGTAAATGTAGTTTAGGATGAACCATATCTGATGAAGACTTGTAAATTCACTTCCTGCTGCCTGGTCACTATTCATCTTCCTCTTTCATCCTCCTTTCAACACCAAGGGCTTGATCTACTGAGGTCCCAAATTAAAATGACACAGCATGGTGTGAGTGATCACTAAGACTGCGTTTGCAAATTACAGGTGCAAAAGTGGTGTGGACCACCCTAATTAAATAAGGATTTTCCTACTGTCTTGTGCACCATGGAGAGTTTGGGAGAGTGGCTGTTGGTGAAGGAGGCAAATGACAAGAAAATGCAGTGTTATAAGGAGTTTTTTCCAAAGCAGATACGGCATGGTTTCTGTTTGTGACTGGCTCCTAATACTGTTTTTATTCCTGACACTCCAAACACGTTGGCACATGCACGGAATATTCTCTCTCATCTTTAATAACCTATTCCTAATTCTCACCACAATAACCGCAATGTTGTGTCAATTTGCACCTGCCTTGCAAACGTGCAAAGTGTAAATGCAAAACAGCAACTGCAAACAGTTTCAAGTAGGGCTGCAACTAACGATTATTTTAATAATCGATTAATCTGTTGTTTATTTTTTCGATTAATCGGCCAAATCATTAAAACGCTTAATTACCTGAATATGAGTAGATATAAATTAAGTTAACTTCTTAAGGATGCAAGTTATTGATAATGAATTAATCTAAAGTTGATTTATCTCATAGATTGATTAACAATTAATTAATAAGCAGCCATTTAAAAAAAACAGAGTTTTCTCAGTAGGATGTAGGAGAAATACACGTTTTTTTCAGTCAGTATTTAATACAGCTGGCAAAATAAATA